GTCATCTTATCCCTTGCAGCAATGGTCCCCGTGGTGGGCCCACTGGAGATCTGTGTCCTCAAGTGAGCCGACTGGGATTCCAGGATGTCTTCGGGCCTTTGCAAGAGCCAAACAAGGATGGAGCACTTCCCTGTACCTCTGTACCTGAATATGTTGCCAATTTTACTCTGCTGCCCCCTGATCTGTGTGAGCAAAGAGCCATCCTGGAAGACAGTGTTCTCCCAGGGTCTCAGCGTGTCCTCTGCTCCTAACTTTCCCTTCAGTCGATCTCAATGGCCCCTCCCGATTATAGCTTCTAGAAAGGGGGTCTATCTGGGATGCAAGGTCCCGACCCCTTGATTCCTATACTTTATCTCTCTTGTCCTTCCTATAGTTCCCAGCAACCAGAATGGATGGGTTTCCCTTCTTCCCATGGAGCAGGCTTCATTATGAACCATGTTTGTTTATATCATGAACCACAGATTTTGTTTGTGAAAGACAGAATATTCTTTCTTTGTATTCCTACTGTAATGATCCTAATGCTTTCTACAATAAGTGGACATCTCTTGTAGAATAGACAAAAACTCTTATCCACAGAGAGGTAACAGAGAATATTAATATAGTTCAAAAACATTCACCTGGGCTGGGAATGTAGCTCCGCGGTAGAGGACTTATCTAGCATGTACGAGGTCCTTGGGTGTGATCTCCAAGACCACACACACACACACACACACACACACACACATACACACACACTAACCCTGCTATCTATATAATGCTTCAGCGAAGACATCACAAGCTCCTACTTGGCAGTGCTGGAGAAGTTTAGCTTGAGAAAAGGGCAACACAGGCTGATGACATTCAACACTTGAGTCACATCCTGCTCCTAATTGTTGAGGATTAGCAAACAAAATTTTGATTATAATTTGTCTCCCTGTATCTTTTTTTTTTCCTAGAAATAATCTGTCATTTCAACATGCCTATTGTAATCCATATGGGCATCACAGTTCAGCAAACATGATTTTTAAAGTGGCTTCATAACATAGGCATCCGTCTCTTTCATCTTGGTTACTACTCCCACTCTGGGAATAGGAACCTCTTATTATATTATTGAAAAGAGGTCCTGAGCGTCTATGGCTGAGGCCCAACTGTGGGACTGGGGTGAGTTCACAAAGATAAAACCTGCATTGGGAGGTAGATATCTTCTGTGAAAACTTGACCTGGTCTAGGGCTTTGCTACTTCTATTCCCTTCAGAGCTACCTTGGAATCAGAGGAGAGGTAAGGAAATTCCACATTGCTGTTCAAAGGCTACTTAGGTGGTGTCCATTCCAATGAACTTCATCTCAAGTATAAGGGTGGCCCTAAGTAATGAAATAAGAATGAGAGATTTGTTTCCATCTTTTCATTATCATAAAATATTATATGTTGGGCCCTGTGCCAAAGTTGCCAGTGACAGTGTCATTTAATTCCACATTGTGGGGAAGACCATTACCTTGGAAAGTGTAGTTCTTACCTGATTTGAAGAGAAGGAACAGATGGTGGGGCCTTCAAGACTGCAAACATTTCATTCCATCATAACATTGTTATGTACACTGCCTGCTCTGATGAGAACTTATGCCCAGTTAACATTACAGAATCCAAGTAAGGATTTGGGAAAGAAGAAAAAATACCAAAAACAACAACAAAAAGATTACTAGCATCTTCCTACAGCTTAATTTAATCCTTATAGTATCCCTGTGAGGAAATAATTATCATCTCCACTCATAGAGAGAGAATTTTCCCAGCACAAGCAGCAGAAGCATGACCCACTCAGCTACATCAACTTCTGTCATGATTTCCACACTTCAACATTCATGAGCCCTTACTGAAAAGAAGAGCCAGAATTCACGGAATCAACGGCCCAAATGCCAAGAGAAGGATTCTTCCTCCAAAGTATCAATATGCAATTTATTTACTTTACACTATTAAGTATGTTTTATTTCCTAGAGTGCCCCCATGTGTTATCATATTTTAATTTAATTTCAAATTTTCCAAAGTCTGAGTCCTCACTTTCAGTCAGGGTATTAACATAGTTCACAATTTCAATTTTTCCCCTCCGGGTAATTCAGAGAAATGCATGAAGTTGTAAATAGCCCACACTGAGGGTGATGGTTGCTGAGTCAGCCTCATCTGAATAACCAAAGCACTGGAAGCAAAGCAGAAGAAATGCAAGCTGGCTTCTAGAAGTTTTCTTTAAATTGTCTAGTGGATTAAAATATTATAGGTAATAAAGTTTAACTTTTAAAAAGATTCAGGATGACTGTTCTCTCAAATGTCGAGGAAGAGCAGCAGTAAGAGTAGAATGAGAATCACTTGGACAACTTATCTTGACATGCTGTTGAAGGGCCACAATGTGCTTTGTTTTTATGAATAAGTGAATATTTCATGACTGACTCTGTGTTCGTTAGTTCTCTGTTGCTATGATAAAATACCTGAGATAAACAACATAAAAAGAAGAATGGTTTATTTTGGCTTATGGTTTCAGAGGTTTCAGTTCATAGTCCTTTGGCCCCATTGCTCAAGCCTGTGGTGAGTCAGAACATTATGGTGGGGAGCACAAGGCAGAGCAAAGTCATTCACCTTATATCTACAAGGAAGTAGAGAGAGAGGAGCTGGAGCCCTAATATTTCAGGGGCAATCCTCCATGACCTAACTTCTACTAGGTCCCATTTTCCAAAATAGTGTCACAGGCTGGAATCTAAGTCTTTAACAGATGGCCTTTGGGGGACATTCATTTAAGATCCAAATCCTAACTGACTTTTACAGAGATTTTATCTACTAAAGAATTGCTTTAAAAATGGAAATTATATATTATTTTAAACAATTGATGATGAGGGTCACAACCAAGTTAAGATGGCGCCTGGCAGTATGCTAGGAGGAGTGGTTTCTGAGCCAATGCCAATGAGCCATTAAGATGATGAGGATTCCTTAATGACTGACTACTGTGTCTAGATGATGTCAATTAAGTTAAGCTGTGTGTAATTAGTTGGGTATATGTACCTCTGCAGTCCGGCAGAGAGGCGGCTCCTGCTACCTTGGGTGCCCGCTACTTTGAGTTCTCAGTTCCTGCTGAGTTCACTTGCAATAAAGTAGTTCCGGATTCAACCTTCAAGTTGCTTGTCACCTTTCGGTTATTTAACCCAGCCGGACTGCAGCAAATTGAAGTGTTACGTTTAATGTTGTTAGTAGAGGAATGTAATGTCAGTTAAAACCTGAATCTGTGTACTTTTTTCTAACAAAAAGTTAAACAAATATAAATACATTGGAGTTATTTGTTTGAACTTCAAACTATTTATTTCCTTCCCTCCTCCCTCCCTCCCTCTCTCCTCTCTACCTCCTTCTTTCTCTCTCTCTCTCTCTCTCTCTCACCAGGTATTGAACTCAGGGGCACTGGACCACTGAGCCACATCCCCAGCCCTATTTTGTGTCTTATTTAGAGACAGGGTCTCACTAAGTTGCTTAGTGCCTTGCTTTTGCTGAGGCTGGCTTTGAACTATTTTTTTTCTTAAAAGAGCATGTAAATGTTAAAAGCAGTGCAGAGTGATGAGAATTTATGATTGAAGCAAGAATAATTCACTCAGATGTCAAGTGGCACCAACTGATAGAAATTTTGAGTGACCTACAGAAAATTTAAGTTCCAATAAGCAAATGTTTTTCATTAAAAAAATGGAAGTTAAAATTGGAGGTGCATTTGGAGAGGGGAAAATCATTCTGTTGCCTATTTCATCACTTATATCAAGACCATTCGAACACTGACCAATGAATTTCCAATCTTTTAAAACCACTGGAATTCAAAAAATAATTTTTTTAATTAAAAAAGAAAAAAAAATCACTTTCTGGTGTCTATGAGATAGACACCAGATTCGATCTGTATTGAATTAATGTTCCAGGGAAAACTTTGGCCTGCTTGAATCATATCAATCTGTATTTTAAGTACACTGCATTTTCTTTTTTCTAAGGGACTAAGAAGCCTGCCAATCCTGGCATGGTTTACTTGCATCTAATCAGACTCAACAGCCTCCAAAACCACCATTTTCTCCTCCCCCCTTTCTCTTTCCTGTCACATCTGCAGTTTGGGTCTACCTCTCAGCTTGGACTTTATGCCCTTTACCCATTATTTTTACTCTTCAAAGACAAGTCACAGCTCATCACTTCAGATGACTTCCAGTGAATGTTTACAGAATATGCTTCTGTTATTTCTAGAAGTATTTCCTCCCTTCTTTAAGCATACAACTTAATAAATAAATTTGGAGTGTTAAGTTCCATTAAAAAGATAAATGTCCAATTTAATTAGGTAATTCCAAATGCCAGGGAACCAGGAAGGACAACTCTGATCAGGTATTTTTTAAAAAAATAAAACAATGGTGGAGGCTTCCAATTCATTTAACATTAGCTTTTTAAACCGTGTTTGAAAGGGGAGGGTACACCTTAGAAGTCATTCGGTCTTCACTGTATTCTGCCTTAATATTTTTATGTCAGATGAGGCTACTATTAACCATCACTATAGTTTGGATGTTGAATGTTCTCCAAAGGCCCATGTGTTAATGACTTGACCCTCAGGGTGGTGCCATTGGGTGATAACAGAAGGTTGGAAGCAAGGTTTACTGGGAGGTCCTTAAGTGTATTCTCAGAGGGGATTTCAGGACCCTGTCCTACCCTTTCACTCTGCTTCTTGAATCATGAGGTGAGTGATGTGCGCTGCTATGTATCCCACCATGCTGTCCTCACCAGAGACCCAAAGCAACGGGGTCACTCCATCTTAGACTGGAACCCCCAGACTGGAAGCTAAAATAAACCTCTTTACTTTATAAGTTAATTGCTTTAGATATTTCATTATAGTTCTTGAAAGCTGACTAATACAATCATATTGATGATTATGACTTCTCAATACCAAGAACTGGCTAGACTCAGATGTTTATAATTGAATCTGTGATAATACTCTTACATAAGCTGGAATACAAAAACTTAAAGGGACACTTACCTGCCTCACAATTTTCAGTCACGAATCCTTTATATTGACGGTGACTAAAGGAAATCTTTACATCTTCTTCTTCCTTGTGAATGACTAAGAGACCAGTGGTTGTCCTGCCTGGGACCCCTTGATCTGTAACTTTTAACCTCAGCCAGAGAGGGAAATGTTCTGACAATGGATTTTGCTGAAGTTTAATTTCTCCTGTATATCGATCAAGAGAAAACATGGACTGACTATCTGCAAAACTGAAAGTGACAGTTCCATTGGGCCCCAAATCTGGGTCGTCAGCTCTCAGAATAGCAATTGTGTGGTTTGTAGATGACTGGGGGGGAAGAAAAGCCTCAAACGGGTTCTGGTCCCAAATTGGATCATTGTCATTAACGTCAGTGACAGATACCTCTATGATCACAGTAGTGCTTCTTGAACCTCGGATGCTGCAGTCTCTGGCCACCACCTGAAATGTATGCTGAAACTGGGCTTCTCGATCAAGGGTGTGCGCAGTTCTCAGTATACCTGCGGCAGGGTCAATGGTGAAGGCACCAGACGACTTGTCCAATAGGAAATATTCAATCTGCCCATTCAGGCCTTCATCCTCGTCCCCAGCAGACAGCACCAGAACCACGGTTCCGACTTCAGCATCTTCTCTCACAGAGGACCGGTAATGAGGGACTGGGAAAGATGGGCTGTGGTCATTGTCATCCAAAACCCTAACTTGCAACTGTATCACAGAGCTTCGAGGAGGAGCCCCCAGGTCAGAGCACAGGATGATGAGGGTAAAATTGTTGACCTGCTCCCGGTCCAAAGCCCGAGTGGTAGAGAGTTCTCCTGAAGTTTCATGAATAGCAAAGTACGCATTGGTGTTTCCATCTATTATAGAAAATAATTGAAAAGTTACTTGAATTGAAAAAAGAAATATCTATTTGCTAACATACATATTAATTTATTCATTCATTTAGGAACTATTTCCTGTTTCAAGCTAGTACTTTTATAAGTACTGGGGATAGAACAGTGAGCATGATACAATCCCTGACCTTAGGACACTTCTAAGAAGGGAATAATAATAATAATATGATTCAGTAGACATCTTAATTGAATCAATAACTAGAACACTGGTTTTCACAGATTTTTGGCAGTCTGATTTTTTTTGTATATAGCTACAACTTTTTATATTCATATATTTTCCCTCTTGCAAACATATATGAATATATTATTTTATTTAAAATAAAACATAGACATCAGGGATAAGAAACAGGATATAATGTCCATTTCTGGATATCAGTAAAAATTAACTGATCAGTTATAGTGATTTTCCCAAACAAACTCATTCTCAGAGTTTATGCCCATTACAATACCACCGTGAGCTTCCTCTTCCACATGCCCGTGGCATGCTGTGCATGAGTCCTGACACTTCTGTTACAGTTAGCTGGACCCTTGACAAGTTATCCCATAACATTAGCAAAGAAGATAATTTATTCATCTCAGCATCTTTAAAAAAAATCTGCCCTTTACTCTTTTCCATGGTACAAAGTATAATAAAAGTTAAAACTAAACACAAATTCAAAATGTTTCAAAGTCATCCTGGTAAATTTGGGAGGAAAATGTGGTTCAAAGACTTGCTAGTCATATTCTCAAATGAGTGACAAAATGAAAGGACCACGTCCAATATTATGGGACCTTATTAGAATTTAAGTACTGGAGGTATATGAGAACAAAGTGGAATGGCTTTGGAGGAAAGCAACTGTCATAATGGATGCTGGGGATGAGGAGAGGGTCCTGCGGTTTTATTTAGAGAAACAGTTGATCTATAACCAAAGTAGAGATGGTCAGACAAGCCTACATTTCTGTGGTATTTGTGGATGACAAAGTGATTAATTCACTCAACAAACATTTAATAAGCACCTATCATGTGCCAAGTATAAGTAATTACTATGTGCTAAGTGTATGTTTAACATTGGGAATTTGAAGAGGTAAGATATTATCTGACTGCTAAGAGTTTAGAGTCTAGGAGGAAATGTATGCCGGTATCCAGACATTAAAATATAGTGTGAAAAATCCTATATCCTGGGAGGCCAGGGGAAGGATGCATAGCCTGGTGTTAGGATGGCCAGGAAATGCTTATTAGGAAAATTAATATCAAAAGTCACTCCTAGTCTGCCTAGTACATTCGAAGTTCAATCCCTAGTACTACAAACAAAACAAAATAGAAGGGGGGTAGGGTGTGGCTGGAGGAGGTAGGTCGCTGCAGGGGATGGGGGCAAGCCTTTGGGGGATATATTTTGTATCTGGTGAGTGGAGTCTCTGCTTCCTGATCATCAAGTGAACTCTTCTGCCATGATGTTCATCCACAGAATGGAGCTGGCTGGCTGTGGACTGAGACCTCTGAAATCGTGAGTCCCCAAATAATCTTTTCCTCCTCTAAAATTATTCTTGTCAGGTCTTTTATTCACAGAAGCAAAAAGCTGACTAAAACACTCCTTTAGAAAAGCCAGAGTACAAGTTTTGGAAAGAGTGTTCCATGCAGAGCAAATATCCTGTATGTAGCCCCAGGAATAGGAGAATTTAGCAGGTTGCAAATGTTTTCGAGTGACTAGAACACAGGGTTCCTTGGGTATTGGCGTGCAGAGGGTAGGGAAAGGGTTGACACAGTGAAGAAGACATGAATTTGGGAGGTAGATAGAGGTTCAATCATGAAAGTCCTGAGCACACTGTTAAAGAGTCTCCATTTTATCTCAGAATCTATGGGGAGCTCCTGAAGGACTTTGACAGGACAGTGTCATGAATCAAATTTATGTTTTAAGAGGAAGACTGAAGCAGCAAGGCTGCTTGATTAGAATATGGGGAGATTAAGAGAGCATTGTAGTAATCTATAGTTGAGCAACAAACAGGTTCTGAAAATAATGTGTGCAAAGAGGAAATGGACATATTCCAAAGATACTAAGGAGGAAAAATAAGGAGGAAGGAAAAATTTATTTGATTTGGCTTAGGTAAATGCTATAGTTTGAATCTCGACTATTAAAGGCTTGGTCCCGGGTGTGGAGATATTGGGGATAGTGGAGCCTTTAAGAGGCGGAGCCCAGTGGGAGGAAGTTAGATCATTGGAGATATACTCTTTAAAGAGTCTGTGGGATCCCATTCCATCCTCCTGCTTTCTTTTGTTAACCCAATTTGTACTGTACATGAGTTTACTCTTCCATGCCCTCCACCATGATGTGCCATCATAGGTCTAGAGCAATGTAGTCAATCCATCATAGACTGGAACCTCCAAAACTGTGAGCCATACTAAGTTCTTTCTTTGTATGTTAATTATCTCAGGTATTTTGTTATAGTGATGGAAAACTGAGTAACACCACAAATGGATGATGTTTAGATGGTTGTTCTTAAAGAGTATATGAAGTGCATGTTTTTAAAGGTTATATGAAGCTTTCCAAGGAGTACCTGGAAACAGGTAGCTTTAAGGTATTTTCCAGAAGCTCAGTTTGCACATCCTTATTGTTAAAATTGTTCCACCTCAGAATTTACCTATGATCATGGTGTTTACCTTGTCTAAATTTGCCTTTATCACTGCCCTTCTCACAAATTAAAAAAAAAAAAAAAGTTTCATCTCTCACCCAGATAAATGACTGCCAAATCAAGGGGTCATTCCCAATATTCATATTCAATACTGAAACAATGACTGACTTTAATGCCTGGGAGAAAACATTCTTTTGTATTCAGAAAGGGTGTTTGCTTTCAGCTAAATTATAGGACCTATTTAAGTTTTTAAGTGGTATATAAATAAAAAGAAGCACTATTAACTGATTTTGGGGGTGTATAGCTCAGGAAGAGCTCAAAAACCAACTTTACTTGTATCAAACAATGATCCTCCCATTAAAAAAAAAAAAAAACCTGCAGAAGGTGCTGGGATTGTAGCTTCAGTGGCAGAGCACATACCTAGCATTACTAAAGGCCTGGGTTCAGTCCACAGCACCCAAAACTGAATGAATGAATGCATGCATGAATGAATGAATGTGCATAGGTACTTTCTCAGTTCTTTTCTTTTTTTCTTTTTTCTTTTTGGAGCGGGTACCAGGGATTGAACCCAGGGGCACTTAACCACTGAGCCACATCCCCAGCCCTTTTAAAAAACATATTTTATTTAAGTTGCTGAGGCTCGCTTTGATCCTCCTGCCTCAGCCTCCTGAGCTGCTGGGATTACAGACGTGCACCAGCATGCCCAGAGGAACCCTCAGTTCTTATATATGTAACAAAGAAAAACAGCAGCAGACTTGGCACTACAGCTTGTTTTATCCTGGGGAACAGAAGTGCATACTCATAGTCCTAATTACTGAGAAGTTGAGGCAAGAGGATTAGCCCATAAATTTGAGGCCAAACTGAGGAACATAGCAAACTACTGTCTCAAAAAAAAAAAAAATTGCATGAATTCATGAGCTAGAAAAAAAGCCCATCAATCTCATTAAGAGATGTATTTCCAGTCCAATATAATTTTAATTTCCATGTTAAATAGTGTCAAAACATGGAATGTAATTTTTCTATTTTTAATGTTGCAATAATCACATCAATAACTACAGCCAAAATAACTTTTGAATTTGGACTCTATATTTACTTAAAAATTTATTAGATCTTATATTTCAGCATAAATATTTTAGTTGTAGGAAAATATATACAAAAATCAATCTTTTGTAGAAAAAAATCTATCAAATTATCATAAAATTTGGCAAGAATGTAAGAAAGAAACATTAATTAAAGAAGCAAAAAATAAAATAAGTGATCATTTGAAAGGGAAAAATATAGGAGAAAAGCTATTTGTTCCATCCATCTATCTACTACAGTTAGTATGAAAGCAAATTCACAATTTTCAAGGCCAGGATTTTAAAGAATTTGGAAGTTAGTGGTTCAGGGTGGCTGTGGGAGGGGTGGAAGGAAGCCCATGCCAAGTGTTACCCTTCAGTTCCTACTGGGTGTGCATTATGCAAAAAAATACAACAGATGCCAGATACAGGAGAATCACCCTATAGGGCACATTGACTCCAGTCAGTCTCATGGACGGGGATTTTCATTAAAAGTACTTACCGATTATGTGAAATCTGATGGCTGCATTTTGGCCAGCATCCATATCAGAGGCCCAAACAGTATAGACAACCTCTGGCTTTTGGTTTTCCAGGACCTCAATGTCATGAACGGGGACAATGAACTCTGGCGCGTGATCATTCTCATCTTCAACAGTGCAGACGATAGTTGTGGTGCTGGACAATGATGGGACGCCCTCATCTCGCACTAGTACTGACATGGAACAGAAAGACAGCACCAATTGTGGCCGTTAACTCATACATGAAATGCATTGCTCTAGTTAGACAGCATCAGACTAAACTTATAGGTAACAATGGGTCAATAATATTTAAAGATACGTTAATAAAATGTAAAATTTCACTGTGGATCTTTTTGGGGTTTTGGTGTGTGTGTTTTTTTTTTATATATCATTGACCTTTGGTGGGGAGGGGGCAAAGATTCCTTACCTCGAAGGGCAAAAGCATCCTGAACTTCTCTGTCAAATGTGGTAGTTGTCACTACCTCTCCAGTGTCAGGATTGATCTCGAACAACCCAAAGGAAGCCCCTGGCATGATTTCAAACCGAAGCTTGGAATTGATTCCTTAAGGAAAATCAAAAGAAAAACCTAGCAATCATCTCTGTGGAATAAACTTGACTGTATTCCCATTCATTTTCCTTTGAACATGTCAGGCTGTAGATGAGGAAGGTGAGATTCTTAAACAGCTTTCAAATTAAGGTGAAGGAAAATCTCTTTGGCTGTTCTTGTGAAATAAAACTCCCATGAGCTGAAATGCTTTATTTTCAAAAGTCTTATGAGACTCCCCATGGTGAATGCTTAGGATTTTTTCCCTCCCATAAAATTTTTCTTATGAGTATACAATTCTACAACGTATTCCTAATTACTCCTTCTAACACCCCCTGATCGTGATTTAATGGCATAATTGTAAGCTTGTGGGGCAAATGACAATTTCTGTGGATCAACCCTCTATTTAAAAGCCTGTGCTAAGTTATAAGATTTTGTTTATTTTCAGGAGGCAAAACCACAGAATTGCTTATATATTTATTTTTGCTTTGTTTGTTTTTTCTTTTTTTCTTTTTGTACTTAGTAATCAATGTCCTATCTGGAGTGAGAAATATGATAACACATTATTATGCATTTTAAAAATAATTCTTCCCATATTTTTTGGTGGTTTCAACTGATTGAGTTGCTTCTTTCTCCTCACACTCTTTAATCCTTCAGCACAAATGTGGCCCCATCAGACTTGAGAACCAGGAAGACAAAAATGAATAGAGATGATTTAGTTTAATTTCATCTCCTGGGTAATTCAATTAGAAATCTGCATCTGAAGATATTTATAGGCTAATGACACACACTTACTGAAGGGTGTGTGCGTGTGTGTGTGTGTGCCTGTGTGTGCACACACATCCGCATGGCACATCTCCTCTTAGACAACAATACCTGGGTCTGGTGCCTGCTTCATTATGTCCCCAAGACACCTCTCCTCAATGACACTTTTTACCCTATCCAGTCCAGTTCCAAGAACTGTCACTTTAGTACCCTGGCTTATTTCCTCAGGTCCCAAAGCTTTTTGCCATAGATGTCCAGCAAAACCTCAGTCCAGAACTATGCCAACCATCTCTCTGCCCACCTTGATTATCCAACAGATGGCACAATGGAGAAACAGGCCCCCCAGGCCCCTTCTCATGCCCTTCCTAGGTTTCAATAACCCCAATTTCCTCTCTGTGTTTCCCAGTGCTTCCAGAGTTATTTTTTCTAAGTTACCTTAGTATTCTCTTTCTGGTAATTCAACTGTACAGCACCTGTGTTGTAGCATCTCGTTTCCCTGACTGAAAGTGATTGATAAAGTACTTGGCAAAAGCAGTTCTCGGGTAATAGGGATTCTGGGATTGGTTTGATTCTGTGTTTGGCCTTCCATGCAGTGCTGAGTTCCTTGCTGTGGTAATGGGATTCTAGTAATTTAGCATTTGGGGTGAGGTCACAATTGAATTATCACCTGTGTTCCAAGGTGTTGAGAGTGACTGTTAAAGGACTCAAATTTGTTAGAGACCAAGTGGTGCTAACTTTGACTAGTTAGTGGCAACAGAAATATGACTCAGGATGATATTCTGAATGTACTAGGAACTTAAAGAATGAAAACTACAAACTGAGGCTTTGAACTTGCAGCTCAAGTCAGCCATAGTTAGAGAACTAGCAAGTTTCTAAGGGAGCCCTAAAATGAATCTCCCTGAAGATCAGACCCAAATTGACTGGCAGATGCAACAGGTACCCAGTAAGGGGATGTCTATATTTGTGAACACCCATGAACAGGATCAGATTTCAACACATTGCCGGAAGTCAAATGCAACTCTCAGTCAGAGATAGCTTATAGTTTCAAGAGAATAGCAAGAGTTTTCTGCTTATCTTATATTGTCATAAACCTAGGAAATACATGTGGATTAGCAGAACTATACTCTATGTAGGTGGTAACTTCAATCAGCATGTAACTTCTTGTAGCAATGTTTCATGACCTAAGACTGGGGCATTTAACATTGAAATGCCCAGTGGTCTAGCCTATCTCCAAATCCCTCTGTTAGGACTTTGGTAAAATCAGAGTTGCTAGAATTGGGGTACAAAGTCTGTAACACTGATTTGGTCCCACTTTATATGGATTGTACAGAATCTAAAACTTTGGGTAAATACTGTTGGTTTAAAAAAAAACTGAAGAGCATGTCAACCAGTAACTTTTAATAAAGTGCAGATGAACAGTTGATGGATATTTGGCCTCTGTAGATGACACTGGGGAAATATCACCCCATAAAGAAATTGCCTTAAAAAAATGCACAGCCAACTAGAGTTTCTACTACAGTGAGAAATTGTTATTGCAAAATGGCACATATTAAAATATTTTAACATGTGTGATGGTTTGGATCTAGAAATGTCCCTGGAAATGCTCATGTTTTGAAAGCATAGTTCCCAATACAGCAAAGTTCAGAGGTTGGGCTTTTTTTTGGTACTGGAAATTGAGCCCAGTGTGCTCTACCACTATGCTGCACCCTCAGCCCTTTTTTATTTTAAGGTAGTTCTTGTTAAGATGCTAAAGATGGCCTCAAACTTGTGATCCTCCTGCCTCAGTCTCTCCAAGGTTGCTGGGATTAAAGGTATGTCACCTAGAGGTAGGGCTCTTAGGCAGTGATGAGAGATATAACCTCACCTGTGGGTTAACCCATTTGATGTATTAATGATCTGAATGACAGGTGGGGTATGGTGCTTTGGGGATTATATCTTGTTCCTGGCTCTTCACAACTTCTTTTTCCTGGCTGCCGTGAGCTGAGAGCCTGTCCTCTACATGCCCTTCCACCATGATGTTCTGCTCCATTTTGGACCCACAGCAACGAATTTGACTGACCATGGACTGAATCTCTGAAACCATGAGCCTCAAATAAGGTTTTCCGACTGTAAGTTGTTCTTGTCATGTTATTCGGTCACAGCAATGGAAAGTGACTCACACAACATCCTTATCCTTTGATATGTGCACAAATAAGTCTCCTTTTAAAGGTTGTACAGAATGATACCTTATAATTTCCTATGAGGTTAAAGACATCAGCCAGGTAGAAGTAATTCTAAGGTTAAGGCAAAGAATCTATTTATTTTCATTAATTCTAAGATACATGTTTTATACATTTTCAATTTCTGAAATTAGATGCATCTTCTGATTAATGGTCCTTGGATTAATGGTCTTTGGATTCAAAGAAATATCATGTCTTTCCCTGTCTATAAATATAGGTTTGAAAGGTGCAGTGGTATATCTGATGTAGGTGAAATCTTCCAGCAGATCAAGATGACCCCAGGCAGAGAATATATTTTTTATGGAATAGAGAATAACATCTTATTAACTAATTCTATATTTATGTATGGCAATGTACTGTTAAACTATTTTGTATTCATCACTACTGAGCAATGTGAGCCATCTTCCCTGGTGGGCACGTCTTCATCCAGGGAGTTGGAGGGGCACCATAGGGACAGGACTTCACTCACTAACAATGGAGCTCTTGTTGGGAGCACCAAATGCTGCAGCAGTTTTAATACCTTAGTTAAAATCTGGTAGTTGTTTTTTCCTTTTAATACAAGAAGAAACTCCTGTTAGAATTAGTGTGAGTCATACATCATAAACATTCAGTGCGCAAATCCCTGTGGGTTTTGAATGCCAAACAACACTGTATGCTTACATTTTTTAAAACTGCATTGTAGAATGCTAGAAAACATATGTTAAGCTCGCTGGTTTTAAGTAACGCTATAGTATTTTTTAAAATACATACTATAAAGTAAACCATTCATAAATTCCAATGCAATGCCAGTTATGTTAAAATCTTGACTACGTCATTTCTTATGCATAATCCTCTTTCATTGTTTTAACCCACTAGGTAGAAATTTTAGAACTGTATTGAGAGAAAATATATTCAAAAGCTAATGCACACATAGCAGTATTTACATGTATTTACATAACCACCTTCTTAACCAATCTGGCCTCACTAAAAACACTGAGATTTCCAGTAAATCAAAACCATCTCCAAAACACGCAAAGGTACATGAGACTCATGAAGATGTTAATGTTTGTGGTAAATACCCATTTATGCAAAGCAACAAAAATAATAATTGTGCATCTGAGTTTGCAGTCAGCAATCATAATCTCTAGAATAAATGAGCTTTCATTCAATTATAACTAACAGGATGCAGAATATTTATACTAAAAGAAAACAGCACTAACACTAGGCGATTTAACAGTAAAAATTAGAAGAGTATACTTATGGTAGTCATCTTTAGTTAATACATGCAAAATATTGGGAGAAAGTGTTTTCTCCCTTTCAAACATTAAAGGAAAAAAATACTTTCAGTAAAGCCCATTGCAAAAAATATAAAACATGAAAAATAAAGGAAGAGAGAATTTTACATGATTGCTAAATCACATAGCATCAGCAATAGGTTCAATGTGTGTCTATACACTTTCAGGAGTGGCTTCTATGTTATCCAGAGTTCTGCATTGCTGTTTATAAAAGAGGAGGCCCTAAGAGAACCTCACAGAACTGAAATTATTGTGAATCACAAAGCTAGTGTATATTCCCCATTGTTGCTAACACTCTAAAAATGATCATTTCTGGCTACGTCCTGAACAGATTCTGAAGCACAGCCTGGGACAACGGTGAGCTTGCTCTAGTACTATATCTTTGAACATAGGAAGGAAAACTCTTTGATCACACTGCCCCGCTCTGGTCAAAGAGAGAAAATTAGGTTAGCCTTTGAAACTGTTCTAGCATCTAACACAAATTCATGTAAAATGTACTTCATTAAAAGACATGGCAAAAGAGCCAAATAGTATGTAATTCAGCTTAAAAGTTGAAGAAAATCTTGGAGTCTTTTGACTTAACAACTTGGCAAGGGGTAATGTATTATTGTTGATACTATTATTTCCATAGAAACATCTTTTACAATTCTTAAAAGAATAGAATAAAATATTATATTGATATATAACGCCCCTTGCTATGTACAAACGCAAATTTAAAAGACTGGCTTATTAAATTACAGATGGAAAAATTGAGAATATGCTGCTAATATGAAACACTGCTCTATACTTTTAATCATTGTTTTGTTTAAAAGAAAAACCAAGTTAGTTATTGAAGTTGCCAAATCTTAAATGCCAAAAGAGTTACAGAGCTATTGAAAAGCAAGTCTCAGAAATTTATAAATTCCTAGCCAGGGCAACTGTTCACTCTGTTCACTGTTACTGTCTTTAGTTGATATTAATAATAATAGTAATGATAGTAGTGATGGGCAATTAACACTGACCATTTATTGTGTCAGTCACTGGTCTAAATTCTATACATGTAATAACTCTTTCACACTCGTAAGAGAGTTGTACAGAATGATACCTTACAAACCTTTTAAAATGTGGTTCTCATAAGAGAACTATAAATTAGACAGCATTTTTAGCCCTATTTTACAATTAGCAGAACAGTGAGGATTAGTGACTTGTTCTCCATTCCACAGCTTAAATGGATGCTAATTCTGGGATTCTCACCTAGGCCATCTGATGCCATCTCTTCCACTCTGCTAAAATATTGAGGAAATAAAAAAATTTATTTGTCTTCTTTACTTGAGCCATCTCTTACGCTGGGAAATAAATGTCATTCTTCCTCTATAATTCTTTTTACTATCAAGATCAAATCAATAAGTCGCATGTTAATTAGTTATGTACTGCTCTAGTATAAATGATAATAAAGATCCATATAAACAAATGCTATAAAAGGCACAATTATCTTGATGTGTGTGTGGCTATGTGTATTCAAATGAAGGAAGCATTAGAAGTCTGAGACAACTAGCAACTGTTCGTTTTCTTTGAGCGTGACTATTTTAAACTAAGTTAATGATAGTTTTTGAGTGCCTTTTTTTTGTATTAACTACCCAGTTTCTGTATTCTTATATTACCTGAATCTCTGTCCTGAGCTTCAACCCTTGTGACAAATGCCCCAGGACGTTGGTTTTCTTTAACTGAAGCTTCATACAGGTGCTGCATAAATTCTGGTGCATGGTCATTTACATCAAGAACAGTGATTGTCAAGGTCTGTGATGAAGAAAGTGCTGGCATGCCATCATCCAGGGCCAGAAGGGTCAGAATGTGCTGAGTTTTTAGTTCATAATCCAAAGGACGAATTGTAGTTAGTAAGCCTGTTTTGAAAGAGAAAAAAAAAAGCAGTGTGTTATGAATATTCCTTAGGTTGGTTATGTTCATTCTACCCATGTCAAACTTATTTAAATTGATAAACACTCAATTTTCTTTTCTTAATTTTTTTAATATTTATTTTTTAGTTTTCAGTGGACACAACATCTTTATTTTATTTTTACGTGGTGCTGAGGATCAAACCCCGTACCCCACGCATGCCAGGTGAGCGCGCTACCACTTGAGCCACATCCCTAGCCCAACACTCAATTTTCATTGTTAAAGAATGAATATATTAAACCAACTTTAAATTCGTATATTATCCAGAATTAACAGTTCACATTTTTTAGTCAGAAAAATCAATTTATTTATGGGGATGAATGAAAATTCAAAAACCATCTATTGTTTCCCAGAAGGACAACGCGGCATGAATTATGATGTCATTTGCTGGTAAATGGGTGGAACCGGAGAACATCATGCTAAGTGAAATAAGCCAGACTCAGAAAGTCAAGGGTTGAATATGTAGAAGATAAAGAGAAGAAAGGAATAAAACACAGAACCTCAAAAAATAGAAGGGAGTAGAGTACAGGAAGGATATTGAGGGGGAGGGAGGAGAGAAGGGAAAGGGAGACACCGGAGAACGAAATCAACCAATGTTCAATGTGCATGTACAGGCATCACAGTGACACCCACTCTTAGGTATGATTATAATACGCCAACTGAAAGACAAATATAGAGAAGTGAGTTCAGTAGAGTAGAGGAAAGGCACCAAGGGGAGGGAGGAGAGGAGAAAAAGGAGAAGTACTAGAAAATTATGTTTTACACATGTATAAAAAATGCTGCAGTGAGTCTCACTGTTATGTATGATTACAATACACTGATTAAAAACATAAAATTATTTGCTTACCCAATATTTCCCTCACTTAAACGATATTTGTGATATTAACAACACATATTTTCATGTCACATGATACTCCATGTTTAAAAGTGATTGCGTTATAAAAATTTGAGTATGACTACATTACTTAAAGATGTTTGATTTTTTTTTTTTTTTTTTTTTTGGTACTGGGGATTAAACCCAGGGGCACTTAACCACTAAGCCACATCCCCAGTCCTCTTTTTTTTAAAAAATTTTATTTACAGAAAGGGTCCTGCTGAGTTGCTTAGGGTCTCATTGAGTTGCTGAAGCTGGCTTTGAACTCACAATCCTAAGCCTCAGCCTTCTAAGCCACTGGGATTACAAGCATGTGTCATCATGCCTGGCAAGATGTTTGATTTTTGTTAAAGAGTTCTGGCTTCTTTACACTTAATCTGAGTTAACTGTCTTATTTTTTTTTTTTACAATAAAGAGCAAGGGTGCTATAACATGGCTTTATCATATTGCCATTGAAGCACATAATCCATATGAGTAAAGTGCTTTACAAAGCTAGTCATTGTAAGATTCCAATTGTCACATTTTTCTTTTAGAACTGCTGATTTCTTCTCTCATCCTTTAAGAACTTTTCTTCAAATAATTCAAGAGGTTTATGAAATCAAACTTTATAAAGATAGTTTCTCAATAATTACTCATCACGTCATATCTCACAGCCATTAAAGCCATTTCTCTATAAGAAACATAAATCTTGTGAGAGGAAAAAATTTCACCTCATATGGATGCATTTGGCTATTACCATTTTAAGTCTTTGAAAAATATCTCAACTGAAACAGCCATTGCAATTGCTCAAAAACCACCACACTGAGATACAATTCTAATTTTATTCATTCTCTTTAACAATCTGAAATAGACCTTCCTTGGTCATGTTGGAAAACATTTTAAGTATCATTGAAATAGGTCCTTGGAGAGCCCCAGCCTGTGTCTGGACTATCTCCCTGTCAGTTGGGCATTTAGGTGGTGTCTATGCATGCCTCTGAATGGAACCATATGCACAGGATTTAATAAATATTTTGATGAAAATTTCCAACAGAATAGAGCTAGACTACAATCATGACTTCCAAATCCTGCACATTCAGTTCCATTCCAGATAATGCTCTTATTAGCAGGTGCGCCAAATGGTGTACATCTGAGATTTTTTCCTGAGGCTTATATAGAAATTTTTTTTAGAGAATAAGATAGAAGTCTATTAATTTTTCAATTTCCCCTGAAAATCAAGGAGAAGGAAATTCATTTCCAAATTCAGAACACTACTCTTTGTACATATATACTCTTTCATCAAGTCACATCAAAACTTAGAGTAGTTGTTATGTGGCAACAAACAATTGAAGTCACAGTGAGAGACATTTTCACAAAGTATTTGACAGTGATCTTCTAAACACAAAAGGGTACAATATATGTGAAAAGCAACACCCTTAATGTCCACATGAATTCAACCATTAAAACATGTATATATTATTTTCAATTATTTACAAATATTTGTTTACATAATATAAAGATAAGTTTCTGTGCCTAAGTCTTTAAAGAGTGGTATTGATTTGTCATGTTCTTGCCTTGATTTACTTTTAGCTTCATCTCTTACTGCAAGGTCCCATGATGGAGGCAAAGAAGTTTGCTATTGTATATTCAGCCTATGAGATGTGAGCTAGCTGTAGTGTACCTACTATTAACAAACAGCCAAATTAAAGTTAGAATATTTTTATGTTTCTGTGAAAAGTGTTACTGAAATTTTGATAGAGATTGCACTGATCTGTAGATCACTTTGGATAGTTTGACTGTTTGAACCATATTGAGTCTTCTACTCCATGAACATGGGATATCTTTCCATTTGGTTGTGCCTTCTTTAACTCTTTCATCAGTGTTTTGTAAATTTTGGTATAGCAGTTGCTCACCTCCTTAGTTAAGTTTAGCCCTAAGTATTTTTACTCCTTTTGGTGCTATATTAAGGGAGCCATTTTCCTAATTTCAAGTAGCTTCTTATTAGTGTATAGAAATGCAATTGATTCTGTATGTAGATTTTATATTGTGTAACCTTACTGAAATTGTTTATTATAAGAGTTTTTTTGTTTGTTTGTTTTTTGTAAAATCACCATGGTTTTCTATTTAAAAGATTGTGTGTTCTGCAAACAAGGATACTTTTATTTCTTTCTTTCTGATTTGGATGCATTTTTACTTCTCTTTCAATTAAAGTTTCTTATTACCTATTTACATTTATCCTTTTAATATTCCTTTCTTTTAAAATAATAGTTCTCAAGATATATATGCTTTAAAAATGTTTGAGTTGTTACACTTTTTAACTTATATATGATAAGTGCAGAGGTAGTACTTTAAGCTGTAAACATTTCTAGATTTCTCAAAAAAGAAAAAAAAAAAAAAGAAAAGAAAATTATCACACAACATGGAACCCCCGCTTCTGGATGTTTATCCAGAAGAACTGGAGTCAAATGGAATACTATTTAGCCTTCAAAAAAGAAGGAATTTCTGTTAATATGTGATAACATGGATAGACTTTGAGGATATTATGCTAAGTAAAATAAGCCAATGACAGAAATATAAGTATGTCATTATTCTGCTCATAGGAGGTATTTTGAAATAGTCAAATTCATAGAATCAAAGAGTGCAATGGGGATTGTCCAACTGGATGGAGGGAGAAAGGGAGAAATCATAGTTTTGGTTAAATGAGATGAATCAGCTGTAGAAATCTGTTGCATAACATGATACCCAAGGTCAAAGATCATGTATTATACAAACAAAACTTTGTTAAGAAAGTAGGTCTCATGTTAAGTTTTCTTACCACAATAAATTTAAATAGAAAATGTTTAAAGTGACACACAGGACACTGTACCTGACGACTCATCCAGCACGAAGGTCATGTGGTCATTTCCTGAGAGGATGCTGTATGTTACTTCTCCATTCCTTCCTTCATCTGGATCTTGAGCACTCACGTGGTGCACCACGGAGCCCACCGCAGCATCCTCTCTGACATAGGCGATGGGGAAAGTCGTGAAAGTAGGCCTGTGGTCATTTGCATCCAAAATCACCACTTTTGCTACCAGTGATCTCAGTCGCCGGTCTGTCACGTTCACAGCCTGATCGGAGGCGGTTACTGTCAGAGTGACAGCTGGGGTACTCTCTCTGTCCAGCGGGGAGGCGGTGACTAGCATGCCAGATGAGGGGTGGATGAGAAATGGATTCATTCCAGGATGGTGGGATTCAATGAAGTATTGTATCCTACTGTTCAAAAAGCTGCCATCGCCGTCTTTGGCATGGAATTCGTACACCAGAGTTCCTACCGGCACATTCTCTTCTACACTTATCACAATGAACTCATCCTGGAAAGATGGAGAATGGTCGTTCTGATCTTCCACATCAATACTGAGGAAGACAGTGCTGTTCGGGGGAGGATGTTTGCCTCGATCTTCAGCAATCACCCTGAAAAGGTAATGAGATGTCGTTTCATAATCAAGTGCCTTAGAAAGGTACAAGTCTCCCGTTGAGCTGTCGATTTCAAAGTGACTATCCTTGTCATTGGCAGCAATGATAAACTGTAGCTTTCCATTGTGATGCTGTTGAAGGTGATCGGGTGACTTTATCAAGCTCATTATTTTTGCGGGCTTTAAGTTTTCTGGTATAACCAAATGTCTGATGTTCTGAGAAATGATAACTCTCCCTTTGTAGAGTGGTATCACCTGGAGCAAGAATAAAAAAAAAAAAAAAGAGCTGTGAGTTTGGAGTATTTTTAAGCAATTAATAAAATAGTAACATAATATTAAATACTAATACATGTTACAATATTAGTTTGGAAACTAATTCCTACTTGTGCAATATATACATGTTACTTGGTCAGAAAACATGCCTCATAAGATTAAAAATTGCATAATATTTAGGATATAGGAAATGACATGATTTTCCACTTTTTGTGATGTGTGAAATGGTAGTTTTGTGAGGCCATGTTGGGGTTAAGCTGAAATATAACCTTGTGGTTCTTCAAAGGAAATGTGGGACAGCTGGTTCTCCAAATTACTGTAAATCCTAGAGATCAATTTACCCATAATGACATCTTTGTACATGTAAATGGCATGTATCTTTGTCTGAAATTTAAAAAATAATTGAGGTATAGCTATGTAGATTTTTCTCCAAATCTTTATTTCTTGAATCCATAAAGAATATAATCTGAAAACAGAATTGTTGGGGAAATATATTCTTGATTATATACATATATTTATATTAATATCACTGATTATCATGTGCATCAACAAAGAACTCTACCTATGCAGTCATTCGGTCTTAACTTTGGTTGGAGGGCTTTTCTTATCTGAAGACTTCATAGAACTTGTTTGATTTAAGTAAAGCCTTTTTAAGGCTTTTAAAATCCATATTTTTTAATCCATATTTTTATGGATCTTAAGCAACTGTTCTAAGCTTTCAAGATTGCAAAACTCTAAGTGATTTTGTGACATGGCCCTTGTTTACATACAAATTTCTCCTAACAATTTACCAGGTCCTTCCCATCAGGATATAATAAAAGAAAAGACATAACATAAACAAAGCAACCTAAATGCCCACGGAGTGATGAATGCCTTGTCAAGAACTGCCCCAAACTAATTCTAAAAGTTATATGGATTTAAATCAATTCCTAGGGATAACAAAGAAATAAATATATGTGCAAAGTGATCTTAAAATAGTATTCATGTATTGAATGTATTTTCACTCTCTACGCTTGTATACAAATCAAACAAAACCTTCAGAATATTCTTTCACATTTTATGGTGACAACATTACCTGAATATTAACAATTGCCTCTCCGTGAAGGGCAGGTACTCCCTGGTCACTGGCGATAACCGTCATCCTGTAGGAAGGTCGATAATCATGTGAAAGCATCGTGGTGGTTCTTATTTCACCATTGTTGGCATCGATCTTAAAGTGATCAGAATAATTTTCTACATACGCACACACACACACAAATTAAGAAACAAATGTTAATTGACCAGGCAGAAAACCAATTAATCCAATGTATCTATGATCTTTTGGAATATGTATTTGCCTTAAGTTCCATGACAGCTTGAACATCTTGGAGGTGACAGACTCAAACCTTACACAATGTATCGAAATGTCATATGCTACCACATTAATAAGCACATCTTTTATGTTTTCATGTATCTGTTCAAATAAATTTAAATTAAACAAGACAAGAAGACCATGAACTGTAAATATAATACATTTAAAAAAAATGTTCAAGCATATTAAACAAGTACATAAAATGACATAATCAACTTTCTTGTGCTCTCACCGCCTAGCTTCAATAATTATCAATTCATGGACAATCTTAATTCATCTATTCCTAGTTTTTATATTTCCCATCACCCATTGCTTTCTGAACAAGAAGGAAATCATAACATTTCCAGAAATCATATCATTTCTTCTATATACACTTCAACATGCATCTCTAACAGATAATGAATGCTTTTAAATAATTATAGTACCATGAAATACTTTTAAAAATAACAGTGATCCTTTAACATCATCAAATATCCAGGAAGTTTTCAGATTTCTGATAGTCCCATAAATATCTTTTGGTTGGATTCTTCAAATTAGCATCAAAATAAAGTTTGTAGAGTTCATATTTCTTGAAGTCATTCATTCCTGCCGTATATCTCTCTATTTCATCCTTGCAATTCATCTGGTGAAGAAGCTGAATCATGTCTCTTGAAGTTTCTCATGGTTTAAATTGGGTTGTTGCATTGCTGACAGGTGGCTTCATATCTTCCTCTGGTTGTCGAATTGGAAGGGGGATCTGGAAAACTGATGGGACTCGTGTGGATTTCTCAGCCAGACAACAGCACAAACAGTGCTTCCCTCCAAAGGCACCTGCTTGGCTGCCTTTTGGTTTTGATGTTGACCTTGTTGATTCACAGCCTAGATCTATGGACTCATAAGGACTGCAAAACATACAACATTAACGTGCTGTATGCTCATTTATGAGCCAGAATATTTCAATAAAAGAAATTGCCTTTCATCTATTTTTTTGATAAACCAGAGGAACCGTTTATTACAGGAAAGACAAGATAAATGCTTGATACTAAACTTTTAACTATCTTTGAAATAATGGGTGGGTTTACTAATATCCTCCAATGTACCAACTATAAGTACAGTTCTATGTTTTTTTTTTTTTACAAATTATTAAGCATGACATTAAACAAATGTCCTTCAACATATTGTCATTATTATCATTAATGGTGCTCATATGGTTGAACACTGGGATCATATTAAATATGATTCCTGGACCACTTGGATGGAATTCCAATGATCTTCATAAACTCCTTGTAAGGGGTAGAGCAAAAACCAAAATGGTGCAGACTCTTTCTGTAGATTTCTTGTGTAACATCTATAATCAGTCATTTCTCTAACGACTTCTGGTTCCTTTTGGTGGAAAATGGTTTGGGGAGACCATATTCTGGACATTTGGGATGTTCATTATTTGGGGGTTGATCATCACTTCTAGGCCTTTTCAGTGGACAGAGAACAGACACACTTATGCACAAAAATATATCATAAATTCATATAGATGTTTATAATTCAGATTGATACCACAGGGTCTTGAGTTAAATAGCAGATTTTATTCTTTAATTAAACCCGAATACTCCAAAAAATGGAAAAAAAAAACAAAAAACAAAGCCTCAGACAAAGCCCGAGTGGCTAAAGTCTTCCATTCTTTGTTTAAACAATTGCCGAGTCACTAGTATTGAATGATACCAATTATCAAACATATAAAGTCAAATAAAAAAGAACTCCTGCCTTTAAGAAACTCAGATATTGAGCAAGAAGTTATGTAACATTTATTAGTTGTGATTTCTGTGATATAATACACTCACTTTAGTCTCACCAGAATACTGTGGCGTGTTCTCAGGAATATGATTCAAATCTCTGTTCCCATTTCACTAATTTTTGTCTTGTTTTTCTATTATATTTTGTAGTTGCCTCTATTTTGTAATGAGATAAAGTTACTGCATTTTTACATTGCTACATCCTAAAAGTTATTTTGGAAACCAGGCTGATCAATTCTCAACATTTCCTCAAGATTTTAAATGAAATGACCAAGTATAAAGAAATCAGTGGGCCTATATATACCTCCAGATCTTGTTCCTCTCTTCCTTATCCATAGAAAGCCACTTTACCTAACTGAAGTGAAGGTTTATGTATCTATTCCATACATTCATAAATATGCATAACATGGTTTTGCTTGTTTTTAAATAATGGTATTACAGCAGGATTATAGCCCAACGTAAGGATGTGTGCATGTGTGTTCCTCTTCACCCCTGTGGCTTTTCATAGGTGGACCATGTTCTCTTTCCCTGCTCAGAATAAAACAGGAAAAAATATAATACAAAGATCTTACTGGTCTTACTGATCTAATAACCAGAGAAAGATCTTTGAATGCATGCTTGAAAAGCCACTTTCCTTCCTGGGACCAGATTAGAATAAATTACAAGACTAGAAAGAGAAAGCTGAGCAGTAATTAATGGGGAGACAAAAAATTAAGAATAAAATTTAAAAGGAGAAAGAATAACTGTCTTTAAATATAGTTCTTCTAATCCCACTATTATGTAAAATTATAATGTACCAATTTTGCAAAAAGGAAAATTAAGTGAAAAATATTAGATAGATCTGCTTCAGTAGGCTCATTATCTCTGCAAAATCACTATTCCAAAACACTGTTTAAGTATACTGAAAAAGTTGGAAAGACCTTCTGAAATGTTTACAGGTAGAGAAATCAGGATGTGGGCATAGGAACATGAAAGGAGAACTTGCCCAGGATCCAGGAGGTGATGAGAGGAACAAGTGGAACTCCCCCAGAAAGAGGTGACACAATGATCTGAGAACCACTGTTATAGAGTAAGATACTTTTTTTTATCTTCTGTAACCTGCCTTTTTCACATAAAATTCAAGGTTTTTCTGGGATCATGTATGCACAGCTCCATACACTCAATTTCATTGTAGAGTACTTTACCATATTATGTAAGCAATTCAAGCAATGCTTCAATAAATATTCTGCTACAGGTCTTGTCCTGCACGTATCTGAGTTTCTCTGAGGTATACAGCAGAAATGAAACTTCAAGGGCTCACTGTGAGCACACCTCCAATTCTATCAGATATCATCCACTCTTCTTCAAAGTAGTTATGCCAACAAGGTTGAGCGTGTTTTAACATGTTTTTGATGATTCAGGCTCCTTTTTAAAATTTGAATGTAGCTTTATTGATCTGTTTCTTTGTAAATTTTTGCTTTTCTTGTTTAAAAATCATTCTTTGCCCTCAGTGCTAATATCAAATCAATCTCTCATATTTTCTTCTGTAAGATTTCAAGGATTTTCCTACTTAAACCACCTCATCTTTGATAGATTGAGAGGTAGATATATAATTTTATTTTGCTGATAGTATATCTTTTCATACAAGTCTCCATTTATGTGGGATGAGTTCTCTATTCTTTCCCACTGCTCTATTTGTTAATCAAAGAATCAATACAATATTGTCTTAATTACAGGATTTTTTTTGTACTGGGGATTGAACTCATGGGTAATTAACCACTAAGCCACATCCCCAGCACTTTTTATATTTTATTTACAGACAGGGTCTCACTGAGTTGCTCAGGGCCTCACTAAGTTACAGAGGCTGGCTTTAAACTCGTGATCCTCCTGCCTCACCCAGCCTTCTTCTGAGCCACTGGGATTTAATCACAGAGGGTAAATATCCTAGTTGTTCTTTTGACATTGTGTTAGTTATTCAGTGATTTTTGCTCTTCCATGTGACTTCCAGAATCAGTTTGTCAAATTCCACCAAAATTCAGTGAGGTTTCAATTGGAAATACACCAAATTTATATATTTAAATCATTTTCATCTTTTGGATATAGAGACTTCCTAAGTATGAACATGACACAGTTTTTAATTTCATTGGTTGGCTATTTATTTCATTTGCCTTTTTCATTTATCTTCATTAATATTTTGTAACTTTCTTCATACAGGTCTTATACATGTTTTATTGGAATTTTCCCTATGCCTCTTAATAGGCACAGATCCTGATTTAGGGAGTTCTGAAGCTTATATAATTTAAGGGGTCCTCCTAGAGAAAAATATATAAATTGCCTACCATCCCCCTTTCCTGGAGAAGGTCACATAGTCAAGGACCTTGAAACTTAAGCTTCATTAGCTTTGCAATGAATCTGCTCTCACTCTATGGTTCTTTATGGATTCACTACAAAGAATGAGATCTTTGAAAAACTGCCTAATTTAAAAAGTGCTAGTGAGTTTTGTACGTGGCTCTGGGAAAAATATACTACCCTATTAATTCCAATACTTTGCCTATAGTAGTACATCTTGGGTTTTCCATGAAGACAGTCAAATTATCTGCAAGCAATGGCAATATTGTCTCTTGTTTTATTGTCTGTGTCAAACAAGACAAAGCACCAAATGTCTTTTAAAATGGTCTAAGATACAATGCAAACTAAACCTAATCACCAGAAAAAAATCTGAGGCCTGCAAATTTTAAGACATAAAAGCAAAACTGTTGCAATGAAGTTCCCACATACACAACACATATATGGTAATAATTTATGGTACAGTACCAGTAGGTATAATTTACACTGATGTTAAGAGCAGTCCCTCTTCATATAGATTCATAGATGTTTGGCACTTGTAACACACTAACTACCATTTCTTATTTACTAGCTACTACTTGCCTTCTGGTAATAGTTAATTTGTACTTTGGATTAGTACAAATTACTCATTTAAGGTGGATGGTTTCTATTTAGGACATAGAAAAGTTTTCACTAAACTCATAAGATTATTTTTTTAAATGAAGTGATTCTTGGCAATAGCAAATAAATTTTGTTTTTAATTTTGTTATACTTAACTTTAACTAGAGAATTCTGAATAATTAAAATAGGATGCTGCTTCCTAGAAGGAGATAGAGAGCTTATAAATGACAGAGGAAATTCTGAAAACCATTCAGACTTAATATTAGTAAGTTTTACCTGCAGAGATTGAATATAGAACTTCTGCATTACTTCCTTCATCAAGATCCTTTGCAAAAACAGTCGTGACCAACATATTTACTGGTTGACCTTCCAAAACCTGTCATAAAAACACATGGCTTACAAAAAAGACAGCAACATTTTAAAAAGAAGCATCAGTTGGCCTTTAAATGAAAGGACACATTATACTATTATGCCTTTTTAAAAACTGTTTTAAAATCCATGTACCATCCAAATGTCTACCATAAGAAAAGTTACATGGGTGGAAGTCCATGAAAAGGATCCACCTTACAAATTTAAATCTTTTACACAGTTTGAACAAATTATCAGGGGCATTAGAACTAATTCTGCAAATAAATAAATAAATAAAAATGATGGAAATCAAATGAACAAAACAGTTATCTATTTTGGATGTTTTTAAAGAATTTTAGCATCTCATTCTCACCTTCTCAGGTCATTGTTTAAAAGGTAGTTGTTATAGTTCAAAATATGCTTAAGATAAATATGGCCCTTTATTTCAGGAAACATACCTCACACAGGAAACATATCTTCTTAATAGGAATTTTTCTGGAATATTGAAATGCACATGTGGAGTTCAACTCTCCAATTAAGCACAGAATATTTTAATGATAGAATTGCAAATTATATAATTACCTGATACTGTTTGGCTTTGGGATAATTTTTCTTTAAATATGGTTTCAGAAGATTAGTTTAAAGTTATTAAATTTTCAATAGCTTTTTTCAGTTGCTCAGTGTGTATATTTGAGCCCAGTTTGTCCAATTTGACTATTTTAGAGCAGTAGCTCTCAAACTTTTTATTCGTACAATGCATCCATTAAAAATAATTACAGCCGGGTGTGGTGGCACATGCCTGTAATCCCAGCAACTTGGGAAGCTAAGGTAAGAGGATTTAAAGTTTAAGTCCAACCTCAGAAATTTAGCAAGACCTTAAGCAACTTAGTGAGACCCTGTCTCAAAAAAATAAAAAGTAAAATAGAAAAATTAAAAATACATCAGTGGTAAAGCACTCCTGTGTTAAATCCCTAGTACCAAAAAAAAAAAAGAAAAAAATTACAAGTATACAAATACCTCCAAGATATATTCACTTACTATGTACATGAATTAATATGCTAATTATACTGTACACATTGGAAAAGATGCAAAAACATACAAATGTACATGATATAAATGTAATTAGAAGTTTAAAATGACCATTTTAGAATTTTAGATTGTTCCATGCTCTCAACTTCCCATCTTAGTGATGTGCATCATTTGCTCATAAGGATTTCAAAAAGATGCAAGCAAACTAGTGGTTAAATAATCCATGTGTGAGCATTACTGGAAGCGAGGTAATCATATCTGTATGCAAAGGGCAGGAATACATTCCTCCTTATACAACAACTGGAGGTGATTCCAAAGAGCATAAATATCTATTCTCTTTTTTCCAAATGCCCTTTTTTAAGAAAAAAACCCCACATATTTACAATTTCTATCTAGAAATCTATGCAATGCCCCACCAAGGCCAGTTTGATAAATTCACATGAATTACCACAAGATGGTGCTCAAAACAAATGACTAAAAAATCCACGGCAAGGCTACTTCACAAACCTTGATGTGAAGTTCCTTTCCAGGGAGACACTGTGGGAAAAATGGCCTGTTGTCATTGATGTCGGTAACTGTGATATAAACCACCATGGTGGCATTTCGTGGTGGGGAGCCGTGGTCCGTCACCAGCACAGTCATTTGATGGTGCATCTGATGCTCACGATCCAATGCCAACCAGCCGATCAATTCTCCTGAAGAATACAGGGCAGAGCAAAGGACAAGGACACTAGTGTCACAGACCATACCCAAAATAATCCAGAGAAGGAAAATCAAAGATGAAGCTTTGAGCAGAAGTACAACTCCCAAGACCACATACTTAGTTTGGCTCATGCTACTGTCGGAAGAATTTCCTGAAGTAGCTCCCGAAAATGCTACTTTCTTGGTCACTCTTCGTATTTCAAATTATCTGCCATCAACCCTTTGAACTAAGAAACTATGAATTCACAAAAAAAAATGATTGGAAAATTTAAAATAACTGCTTATTATAGGCTGCCACACAGAACAATGGAAAGCATGTGAGCTATGATATAAGTTCTGGCTTTGGGTCCAAGGTTCCCCACCTAACATGGTCTCTGAGCCTACCTCCTGGGGCTGCTCTCTGAAACAAATGCAATTGTTTCATAAGAAAAAGCATTTCATAAGCTGTGAATTATCACACTCTCGGCAGTTGTTATCATTACTTTAAAATGATGGCAAACATTTTCCTGAAAATCATATTCTTTAGGCAATGGTTTTTCATTCATGTATACAAGTATTTATTTTTTTCCCACAAAGCATATGTGTAGCAATGGGTAGTGACTTCCCAAAGAGCAATTAATGCGTTATAAGCCTTATTTTATATATTTTTGCCTACAACTATGCTATATTTCATAAACTCCTACATGGTTTAGCCATGGAGACTGAGGCACAAAATTGTAACTGCCTCTTCATATTGCCAAGGGCCTTTGGAAGCCAAGTTCTCTCCAATAGCCCATCTCCTGCTGTGGAGCTCAGCAAAGCATTAGTTTTCTAAGGTCTTTCAAGAAGTCTACTTGTGAGAAAGTAAACATGAAGCAACTATCAACCAACATTCTCATTGCTAAGATATTCTCCTCTTAATTCAAATAAAATACCATTGTATTAAAAAAGCTGAAACAAGGATAAAATTCATATTTGGATAAGTCTCTGGATTGGTGAGCTAAAATGCAGAGTTTACTGCTACTATTTACTTTATAAACTATTTAAAGAGTGTTTACCATAAATGTAATTTTAATAAAAAATCACATCATCACTGTATTTTAAAGTTCCAATTTGTAATTCTTTGAAAAACCCCAAATCCTGAATGACAAACAGATTTTTTATTTTATGAACCAACTCTGATGGACATATATCAGCTATTTAGAGGTCTATTAGCAAGACCCTAAGCAACTTAGTGAGATCCTCTCTCAAAAAATAGGTAAAAGGACTTTGAGCCACAGCCTGGGGCTGGCACTGGTGATGCCAAGTCAGGGTTCAATGGGAACTGGCATCCACGTCAGTAAGAAGACTGCTCAGCATACCAGGATGAGGAGACATGGTGGCCTGCCCGCTCTGAAGGATGCCCTCCAGCCCTGCCTTGCCACACTGTCCCTGGCAAATGAGAACAGCTTATCAGGACATTGGATTTCAATCCCCTTCATGTACTTCATCTCTTTGACAACCTCAGAGCACGATGTGACACATGTTAGGAATTATCTCCTCTATCCATGGCAAGGGCACTGAGCTCTGATATGAACAAAATCATGACGGAACACTAGGTCTTCTGAATCTGGGTACTGAATAATTATAGAAGAAAGAAAATCATGGGGTAACCTGCTGTAGTTTGCATATTTTTTTTAAAAAAATTACCAAGTGAAACAGAAGATCTGGAAACGAACAGACATATGGAATGAAGCGGCAGCAGGACTCTCCCACACATCTGTGCAGCCCATGCCCTCCAGAAGGCACACCAGTTTACAAAGTGACTGGGAGTTGAAATCCAGTCTGCACCCTTCCTAGAAGCCACTTGTGCTGATGAGAGGCTCCACCTACAGAAGGAAGAAGCATCTTCTCCCATTTCACACATGGGGAATGAAGAACAAAGTCTAGAAGCTAACTAGAACTGAATTCAAATCCTGTCCCACTAAAGGGTAGGGGCAATATTAGCCAGGATGTGACCTATTTCAAGCCTTCTGCTATTGGTGGCTTCCTCTAACCTCTGACTAGCTCTTTGACTTTCCCACAGCTATCTCATTCTCAGTTTTCCCAGCTCTGTATTTGCAGAATAAACACATCTTGTTGCAGAGATTAAAGTCCTTGTAAATTCATACAGCATAAATTTTTAAATATAATGTTTTATATTTAATTTTTAAATTAAGACTTCAAAAAAAATAATTATGCCACTGTAATTATTCCCCCTTTCCCCCCGTTCCCTTAACAAAATGAGAATGGGGACATGCGTGCATCCCTGGGGTGATTTTAAAATCTCAGCTAATGGATTACTTTCTAGCTTTGTGTTGGTGACATTTATATTTTACAATGTATGCCGGAGTGATTAAAAAAAAAATCTGCAATTAAAAAAAAACTGGTTGGCAAAGAAAACAAACCTTTCCCAGGATTTATTTAATCCAATTCTGACTATACCTCTCATTCAGTGTAAGAAGCTTATATAGTCATGCACCCCTTAATGACGGGGATATGTTCTAAGAAATGTGTCCCTAGCTGATTTCTTTACTGTGCAAACATCAGAAATGTGCTTACAGAAGCATAGATGATAGATGCTATATGGCATAGCCTATTGCTCCAAGGCTACAAACTTGTGGAACATATGACCCTATTGAATATTGCAGGCGACTGTAACAGAATAGTCAGAATCTGTGCATCTAAATATATTTAAACATAGAAAAAGTACAGTACAAGTTATAGGCAATAGGAATTTTTCAGTTCCATTATAATTTTATGGGACAACTGTTATCTATGCAGCTCCCTGTTGACCAAAGTGTCATTATATGGCACATGATGGTATTGGCAATATATGAGCAGAACCAAGAGAAGGATGAATCATTAGAGGTGAAATTCTTTTCGGTTTTAACTTCATTTTAAAGTTACACAATACTATAATCAGATACTTCATCTACTAAAAACTCATTTTATCTGAATGTTCATACTAATGCTATAACTAAAAAAATTTTTTTTTCTCAATCCTAACTTTAAAGGAGTAACTGGAAGCTACAAAATGCTACCTGTATTAGGATTTATCCTGAAGAATTTTCCATCAGACAAAAGAAAATAGGATAGCTGTCCATTCTTTCCAGAGTCTGGGTCAATGGCTGTAATTTTGCCTATTACCCCTGGGGGAATAGGGTTCTCTTCAACTTTCAAAAACAACACATCACGCGAGAAGGTCGGGGAATTGTCGTTCTCATCCAGGACATGAACAATGACTGAAGCGCTCACATTTTGCAACGATCTGTCCTCCGGGATCCCGGCGAACACTCTAAAGCGGTATGTTCGTGTGGATTCGTAGTCGAGCTGTCGCCGCAGATACATCCAACCCGTGTAGGGGTGGACGCCGAACGCAGCAGCGTCTACACTGGCCTCCAGTGAGTACATCGTCTGCGAGGTTGTGTGCTGGGGGTGCGCCTGTATTTGCAGTATTTGTGTCGTCAGCGAGAGAGATTCACTGACTTCCACTTGATAAACCAAGTTTTCAAAAGTCAAGGCTGGGTTTTGTTCTGGTTTCTCGATGACTATCGTCAGCATCAACAGGGAGGCCCGGGGAGGGGCGCCATGGTCCTCTGCCACGAGGGTCAGGGTGTGTTTCTGCAGGACCTCCCCTCCCAGGCTCCCACGGAGGTACACCACCCCCAGCCCTCGGTCGATGGTGAAGATGCCTGGGTTCTGGCTGGCAATGCTGTATCGGATGAGCCCGTTCAGCCCGCTGTCTTTGTCTTCTGCACGTGCAACGTACACGGCCGTGCCAGCCGGGGTGGTCTGCGATATCCTGATCTCATCAGAGGCTGTGAGGAACTCGGGGTGGTTGTCATTGACGTCCACTATGGTGATGTTGACTTCCGTGCTGCTGCAGACCGGGGAGCTGCCAAGCTGCGCCTGGACCGTGAGGACAGCCACGGGCTGCGTTTCGTGATCTAAAGGCTTCTGGGTGCGAAGAGTGCCCAGCCAAGGGTGAATGGAGAACTTTCCGTCCAGGTTGCCAGAGGAAATCCTGTAGAAGATTGGTTCTGAGGAATCTGAAAAGGGAGGATATGCAATCATTATATGCCACAGGAATGCAGGTGCTGGAAATGCTGAAATATTCACATATGCTGCATAGACCCTGAGCACTGTGGAATGTCTGTCTGCTTTCTTCCTCTACTTCTCAAGCCTGTTGAAAAGGGGGTGCATAGATTAAGGGTTTTTTGTTTTGTTTTGTTTTGTGAGCAAAGCAGACATCCAGAGAACAAAGAGCAAGCTGCAGGCTTTACTATCTTTCTTCATCTTTTTGCATTAGGTAAAAAGAAAAGATATTCAGAAAATAATTTGCATACCATCTTCTCTATATTTAAGGAAGCCAAGTTAAGTTTCTGTATGATGTCTTCCCAGGCCTGGGCCATAACCCCCACAGAAGATGGAGGAGAAGGAGAGAAGAAAGGAAAGGAGGGGACCAGGAGGAAGGCAAGCTTTTTGGAGACATAATTCCCTTTTAGGATTTCATTCTGTCTGTGTAAAATGGAGTTATGAAAGAATATTTGCTCACATGGTGTTTGGACTACCAAAATTTCAAAAATATTCAAATAGACAGCAAAAAGGCAATGTTTAAAGGAAACACATCTAAGTTGAAATACTATGTGACTTATTTAATGAGCCAGATGATGTAGTTTTCCTGGAAAGCTGCCCTTTTTATACTAAAGTGATAAAAAGTATAACAGAATGGAATGGATTTTTGTAAGAAATATTTTTTTTAAGTGTGTGTTTTCGGGGAGGACATATACACTTTCTACATAAATATTCTGTACTGTTTTCTTTTGAAAATACCTATTTCTGTTGTTATTATTAAGAGAATTGTAGGATGGATAGAAACAATGTTGAGAGAACGCAGAGCAAGCCACACCTTGTGCTGCCTCAGTTCATCTTGCCTGGAGAGAAGGAAAGCATTCTTCAAGATTGGACAACCCAAGAAAATACAGCAATATTTTCAATCATGGACTTTTAATGCAGCAGCAGTACTTACTCAAGGACTCTCTGGCTTTCACTGTTCCAACAGGACTGTCTTCAGGCACATCTTCATAAACTGAGAATGTGTACTTAGGCCTTTCAAATTCTGCAGGTGCCAGAGCTGTCTGGAGGATGTGTATGGTGATGTCAGCGTTAACCGCAGCTGTAAGCCCACCACCATCTTGGGCACAGACCATCAAAAAAAGAGTAGTCGGTTCCAAATGACTAAGAGATGATGTTAAGTAAATAATCCCTGGATGGGGACAAGAAATAATTAATAAGTAGTTAATATGCAATAAATACTGATAGTTATAACACCTAATCTGTTAAGTCTGCTGTGCTATTTAATTTTATGCACCAACTTGATTGGATTATGGGGTGCCCAGATATTTGATCAAACATTATTCTGAGTGTGACTCTGAGAGTAATTTTTTCTCTTTTTAAAAATGTGCTCCTTTTAGATATACATGGAAGTAGAGTATATTTTAACACACACACACACACACACACACACACACACATATATATATATATATATATATATATATATATATATATATATATGGAGTATGACTTATTCTAACTAGGATCCCATTCTTGCGGTTGCACATGATGTGGCATTTCACTGTTGTGTATTTATATATAAACGTGGAAAAGTTATGTTTGATTCATTCTATTATCTTTTCTATTCCCATCCTCTCTCCCTTCCCTTCATTCCCCTTTGTCTAATCCAGTAAACTTCTATTCTTCCCTCCCTACCTCCTTATTGTATGTTAGCATCCACATATCAGATGAGAGTATTCAGCTTTTGGTTTCTTGTGACTGGCTTATTTCACTTAGCATGATAGTCTCCAGTTCCATCCACGTACCAGCCATAATTTCATCTTTCTTTATGGCTGAGTAATATTCTATCGTGTATATATATATATATATATATATATCTATATATATATCATATTTTACTTATCCATTCATCTGTTGAAGGGCACCTAGGTTGATTCCATATTTTTGTATGATATTACTTGACTTCTCAGAGTGAATACAGTAGACTGTTATCCCTAACATAGGTGGGCTTTATCCAATCAGTTGAAGTCCTGAATTGAAAATAAAAACTTACCACTTTATAATTAAGAGGGAATTCCTCCTGTCTGACTGTCTTCAAAATGGAATACTGGTTAGTTTTTTCCTGCCTTCAGACTCTGATGAAACATTAGTTCTTCCTGGGTCTCAAGCCTGCTGGTCTTCAGTATGCAATAAACCATTGACTTTCTTTGGCTTAGCTTTCTAACTTACCCTGCGGATCTTGGGAAATGTCAGTCTCCATAATTGCGCAATGCAATTCCTTACAAGAAATCTCCTCATAGATGTGTATATGTATTTATCACATGTAAACGGCCATCGACATGTGTGTATATCCACGCACACGCATATGCACACATACTCAAACACACCCATTCTATTGGTTCTATCTTTCTAGAGAAACTGAATTGATACACCAGTTTTATAACCAAAGAACTTGTACATATTTGAAAAATGATGCTACAGATTCTGTCAAGAGAACAGTATTCCCCCTGGGCTTAAACATTAGACATTTTGGAAGCATGTCAACTCAACCAGAAGAACACAAAATCAGGCCTGACGATCACATCACCAGCTCAGTCTGATGTGTCCTCAGGTGGGGCTAACATGGGTAGCGGGTAGTTACAACCTGCCCAGGTGCCAGGGCACTAAGACCTCAGGAGAAAACTGAAATGAATCTTCCAGGCATTCCCAGACTCAATACCAATTGGGGCAGTTCTGTTTTTCAACTGATTCTACTCTTTGCTGGTGAGAAGATATAATACAAGAACTGTGTGTAAGGAAACTTCAATAAGTGTTAAAACCATGAGGGAAAGAGTGATATTTGAGGCTTATGACTATTGCGTGTGAGAGGAAGAGGTATTTATGGTTAAGTTGGGGAGAGATTCAGAAATTGAGAAGACTAATTATTTAATATTGCAATAATTAAATATGTAACTGGTTTGAAAGCAAGAAAATAGATACAATGGAACCAACTTTGGAAATAAACCTGTTGGTTTTGTTTAACAAGAAAGAAAATGCATGCAGACTCATTGATAAAAATAGAAATAAACACAGTTGCACTTTATGGACTCTGATGGTCTAACCAATCATCCTATCAATTTAAGAATGGAATACTGCAAATTTTTGGCAGTATATAAGCTGGTAAATACATCAGAAGTACCCAGTTTTTAGGTATGAAAAATGGACACCCATTCTAGTTGTTTCTTTTCAAAATCTGTTCCCATTCCTATTTCTGTCCAGGGTTTAATGAACATGCATCATTTCTCTTTGGCATAATGTATTATAAAGTCATGCATCTTGTCTGACTTCCTCCAAGCATAACATCCCCCCTTTTATCCCCCTGCCCAGCTTTACTGAGGTATAATCAATACATAAAATTGTACCAGTTCAAGGTGTGCAATGTGACGATTTGAGACATACTTGAGTTGCCCTGTTCTTTAATAGTTTCTTATCTAACTTGACTTTAAATCATTTCCCAAATGGTTTGCTTCTCCTGAATATGCTTCAAGCTGATCATCTTAACTGAGGACTCCAAAGTGAACACAATTTCCAGGTCAATCTGACCAAGCCAAGCAGGTCCAAATCCAAAGTATTAGGATACTACAAAACACTACTAATGATACCAACTATTATTAGACCAACTTTAGCAGACATGTTAGAATCAGGGTTCTAATTGATTTTGTGGTCCACCAAAGCCCTAAATACTTTTCAAACAAACTCCTAGTTCAGATCATTCCCATCTGTTATTGGTGCAGTTTAAAAAAAAAAAAAAGATATAAATTGTTTCATTCTAAAAGTCAATGCTTTTTTTAGGTAAATAGAATTTATTTTGTTTATTTTTAAAATTGGGGTGAAGTCCAATTGAAAATTTACACATTAAAAACCGGCAGTGATTAATTACAATCTTTCTTAGCATTGACTGGATCGTTAAATAAAATATGTATTGGGACTTAGAAGTGGAACATCAATGTCATCATCCATTTGCTTGCTAAGTTGAGTGAAGATAAAATATTACATTACACGTTCTAAAAGCAGGAAGCAAGAAATGAATTTTCAGAAATACTGTAGAGTATTCACCATGCAGGTTTCTAACTTCGAACTGCCCCTTCCCATTATGACAGCTATTTAGACACCTAAAGCAAAGAAGAGTATGACCCTACCCCAGAAAGCTAACCTTAACAATCAGAACGCCTGAAAGGTAAGTCTCGATTCCAACTACAAATGTTATTTCACCCTTACAGGAAGTTCTTATTATTCTGCACAAATGACTTCCAGAGGTGACTTTTTTCTTTCTTTCTTTTTATTGGTCATTTTTAGCTTATATGACATTAGGATTCATTTTGGTACAATTATAAAAGCATGGAATAAAATTTGTTCTAATTCAGTCTCCAGTCCTTCCTCCCATCCTCCCTCACCCTGTTCTCTTCCCTCTACTCTACTGATCTTTCTGCTATTTACTTACCTTTTTTTTTTTTTAAATTAGTGTCTGGTGGCTATACATGACGGTGAGAGTCACTGTGGTATATTCATATATGTACACAGGAAACTTAGGTCAGATTCCTTCCACTGTTCTTCCCTTGTCCCATCCGTCCTCCCTTCCCTTCAATCCCCTTGGACTAGTCCACTGATAAAAGCTTGTGCTTGATTTGAAAAATAAAACTCAAATGATACAGACTGTTTACAGAAGAAAATAAAAAAGTCCCCTCAACCCCAGTCATTCCCACACCCTGGGTATATATTCTCACAGATTTAACTTAATTCTTATTATAGGGAAAATTTGAAAGATCTCATTTTGCCTTTTTGAAGATTGTGTGACATTGAAAAAATGAATGTCTCTCTCAAATAGGCACAACTAGTCTTCCTACCTACAGACTGACTCTTTCTGGGCTATTTTTCAGACCTCTATGAAAATAGTCTTCCTGAAATCCAAATCCGGATATATCCAAGTTCTCAGCATACAGTTCAAATGCCTTATCCGAACACACCAAACTATTCATAAATTAGCCCTCTTTCATCTGTTTCAGTTTGGATATGAGGCGTTCCCCTAAAACTCCTGTATTAATGCAGGGATATTCAGAGGTGAAATGATTGGATTGTGAAAGCAGCAACCTGATCAATCCATCCAAGTTTGAATGGACTGACTGGGTGGTAACTGTAGGCAGGTGGGGCGTGGCTGGAGGAAGTGGGTCACCAGGATGTGCCCTGAAAGGCTTGCTCTTCCTGTGGTCCCTTCCTCTCTCTCCCTGTTTCTCTGCTTTTTTTTTTTAACCTTTATTTTTATTTATTTATTTTTATGTGGTGCTGAGGATCAAACCCAATGCCCCACATGTGTGAGGCGTGTGCTCTACCACTGAGCCCCAACCCCAGCCCCTGTTTCTCTGCTTCTTGACCCCACCATAAGCTGAGCACCTTTCATCCACTGGTCCCTTCTGCATGATGTGCTCACCTCGGGCCTAGAGAAATGGAGTTGGCTGTCTAGGGACTGAGACCTCTAAAATCATGTGTACCCAATAAACGTTTCCTCCTCTCAGTTGCTCTTGTTAAGTATTCTGGTCATAGTGATAAGAAAGCTGGCACAACCTCCATTTCTGTAGCCCCATCTCATGACTTACTATGTAGACTTTTTTCCTTCAGCAAAGTGAAGTACTTATACTTTGCAGACTAGATGGTGCTCTTTTCTATTTGAATTAGCATATCCTTTTCCCAGAACAATTCTTCATCAACCTGATGATTTCTAGTCATATTTTAAAGTGCAGCTCAAGTCTCACCTAATGCAGGTAGCTTTTGCTTGCCTCCACATAGCCAGACACCACCCTTCTGTGATGCTATAGTGGTCTGGGAATCTGTGCCTACTATAAACTGAATACATTATACATTAAATATCAGTTTTTATATTTCTTATCATTCACTTCCTTGATCACTAATCACTCAGTGATCTTTTAATAAAATGAAAATTATTTGAAAAATATTTAAACAATTTAATGTCCATAATATAAAGGTTTCAGCAATTAAGATGAAAAATAAAAGGAAACCAAACGTTAACGGTAGATAAGCACAGATAGTGTAGATAAGAAAGACAAAATGTCAATAAATACAGTAACGCTCCAACTCACTAATAATAATAAAAATTAAAACAGTTGTCTCTCTTTTTTTTTATACCCTCAATCCTAA